AAAGACACAGACCTACTAGAGAAGGGACTTGAGGATATGGCGAGGGGGAAGGGTAAGCTGTGAGAAAGTGAGAGAGAGGCATGGACATATATACACTTCCAAACTTAAGGTAGATAGCTAGTGGGAAGCAGCCGCATAGCACAGGGAGATCAGCTCCGTGCATTGTGACCTCCTGGAGGGGTGGGATAGGGAGGGTCGGAGGGAGCGAGACGCAAGAGGGAAGAGATATGGGAACATATGTATATATATAACTGATTCATTTTGTTTTAAAGCAGAAACTAACACACCATTGTAAAGCAATTATACTCCAATAAAAATGTTAAAAAAAAAAAAAACCAGAAGAATGAATGATTAACTCCTGAACAGTTGACTGTACTCAATTACTATGCTGTGTTAAAACTTAGCTATCAATAACCCATTTGTCTTTTAATTTGAATTATCTATTAATTAGAAGTATTTTCTGTGCTTATTGGTCATTTTATAAAACAGGAACGCCATTTAAAGATTATCTTTGTAGTTCTTTTAGGAAAAAGATGTCACACTATTGAATGCTTATAAAATTGTTTATTATGATGCTGATGGTAATCTACATTCATTGGTTAGCTTTGTAATAGTATAGAAATTAGAAATTTTATTTACCAGTTAATATGAAACCACACCTCCTGGTTCATTATACTATTGTTTTAAAAATGTCATGCTTTACATAGATATATTTGTATGTATACTTGTTAACATTTAAGATAAGACACTTCTGGGTTTTATAATGACACTCAAAATGAGCATCTGTATTGACCATGAGTGTAAAGTGGTTTTGGAAAAGAAAATGTATTATTTTATTCAGATATTTATAGTATCTCCAGTACTGGAATCTAGTGGCAAGTGGAAAGTTTTGTGTATGTTGTAATATTCTTTAACCCAGGAAAGTAGGGAGGAGAGAGGAGGCATATATTTATTAGATACTTACTATGTTCCCAGCATTTATTTTAAGTGTTTTGCCTACGTTATCTTACTTAGACCTCCCAACAATTTAATTGGCAAGTATTATTTACAAAGTGTATTTTATAGATTAGGATACAGAGGTGTAGAGGCATTAGTAAATGTTTCAGCCAAAATACAAACACAGGCAGTCTAGCCTCTTATACTTCTCACTCCTGAGGAGTATGTCATTCTGCTTTCCTAAATAAATAAATAAATGTATGCATGTAAAAAATATTTTATAAAGAATATATAGGAGTCATTAATAGTAGTACCTAGCAAGCAAGCATACAAACCAACACAAAACCAGTTAATTTAATGCAAAGTAAATTACCTTTTTATTTGTGTGGAATTATTAGAGCACATAGCATCAGTGTAATTTTCATGAGTATAGATAAGTTTCTTGCTATAATATATAAAATGTAGATGGATGGAATTCATTAGTAAAGATTGGTACAAATGAAATAATAATGTAATAATGACAGGAGAGTAATGCATCTTAAGGACAATGAAAACTTCCATTTGGAACCCTCCTGGATTCTTCCCTGTGTGTCTTTCCATGGCTAACTTTAATGTATCCTTTCCCTGTAATAAATGTAAATGTGGGTATAATAATAAAAAAAAAGTCTGAAGAAATTAGGATATTATGCTCATGCATACAATTAAAGTAGACATTCCTCTGAATATTAACAAAAAAGAGAAGAGAAATATAAATGTAGAGTAATCAGCTGGAATCTGATAGTACAGCAATGTTCCCTTGGATTTTGAGTTGTGTTATGCTAGTAATAAAACTAGATTTAGATTGTTATGGAAATAATCCAAACACTTCCTCTGATTTGCTAAGTTCTTTAAAAACTACCTATGAATGTGAAACATATTATTATTATGATGCTTTGTGTTGCTATACTCTCAGTTTTGTTTTTTTTTTCTTGTCTCCTCTACTGCTCAGTGATAAGCCTTCCAGTTTTATTACTAGCATATTGGATTTAGGGTAATATTTGGATACTTTTAAAGAGTGGCAGAATGCATCTTATATTGTTATATTGTTATATACTAACAATATGGTTTATAGTCATTTAAACAGATTTCAAAACTAAGTTCTATCTGTGTATTACTTAGATTATAAAATAATAATGAATATATTTAACAAGTATTCATGGTCAGTTTTTGGAAAGCCCAGTAGTTAATATGATTGAATAAATTGATACATTTCTCAATTACCAGCCACTGTAAAGTGGATTTGGTCTATGTGTGTGTTAGAATTGTAGAAAAGTGCTTGGATTTATACTGGAAATTCTATTATGACCTAACTATGGTGGCTCATCAACTGGAATACAACACTATAATAAGAAACAGTAAAGCAGTTTCTATTATAGCTAGTTTTCATTTCTATCTTCATCTAACTACAGAACACATATCTAAAAATATCCATTAAGGGGCACTAATTATATTACTAGTATTGTGTAAAATTCATAGGAAATGTGGACCATTGAGATGACAAAAAATGGATTCACTAGAGTTTTCCAACACAAGAAGAAGTAGACAAATATTAAATATTATGTGCTAATTTTTGCATTCTGAGTAGTAAATGTGTTGCTAAATTGGGAATACACAAACATAGGCAGATGTAAAATAATTACATAGATACCATAAATATTTAGGGGCAAAGAGTGCAATAACTATAATGTGTGCAGATGCACACTATATCTTTTTGGAGCACATTTTATTGACTTTATTATTTTTATTTCCTTTTTTGTTCAGCAATGATGATATGTGTGTGTTCTCTGTTTGCTAATATGTGTCTCCTCTAATATGGACTGCTCAATATATCTGTTCTGTTTTCTTGAGTCATTACAGCAATGAACAGCTTTCACTGAGACTTGTTACTCCATTGGGCAAATCCATTTAATATGTAGTATGAGCAGCTGTCCATCAATATCGGTATCCTTAGGAAAGAGTTCCAGAATCCCCATGTATTTTTTGCTGCTGACTTACGAGACCAATGACATATTCCAAATCTTTAGTATTAAGTATTAGTATTAAGCTCCCTCTATGTGTCATGAGACTTAGAAAAAGTTACGTTTGTTTTAAAAAACCCATAAATGTATTTGTAAAGTCTTTTATGAAGTTGGGAAAGACATTATTTTTAAGGATATTTAATTTAAATATGTCAAGGCTTTACCTTAAGTAGTTTTTGCTTACTCGAAAGCAAAATTTAAAATGATTTGCAATTTTATTAAGTTATTCCCATTCTGTCAGCCATCAAGTTCCAAATCCAGATTTATTTTCTGTTTCTCTCTCCCTCTCTCCATTGCCCTACCCCCCACCATGTGCAGGTACAGCTTACACCAAATCCTGCCATTTTTCTGTGCACTGTTCCCAAGCATTTGCTACAACTTTAGCTTGGGCCTTAACACTTTGCTTCTTATTAACTACTGTGGCCTTCTGATTGATCTGGCTTCCAGATTTTTCTTCAGTCCTCAGTCCATTCTGCAAATTGGTATCTGAGTAATCTTCTAAATGCACTGTTCTAATGGTGTCCCTGAATTGCTGAAACGTTGCCAGTTGCTTCTCATTAATCTAAGGCAATGTTGTTTTTGTTGTTGCTTGGCCAAGAGGGCCCTCCACAGTCTTGATTCTTTATCTCTGTTTCTGTCCTTTATTTGAGGTCTGCTCTTTTCTCATTACATTCTTGCCTGATACTCTGATTTGTTCTCTAGGACTCAAATGTTCCAGCTGTCTTCTATCCATGATCTGATTCCTACCTGGTTCTCAAGGCTTACTTACTTTGGGAAAATATTCCCTCGACTATCCTAGTCTACAGTGTTTTTTTTCCTCTCATGGGACTTATAGCAACTTACCCTGAATAACACAGTTTTTACTTTTATGGCTTTTTAGGCATTTAAAATTTTTATTTAGTGAAACTTAAAACATTTTACTTGCTGTCATTCCTCTGCCCATCCTTCTTAGGGCTTTTCCTGGGCCAGTTCACAGTACAATTTAGGGAGATCTCCCACTTTCTCCTTTAGGACAGCTTGGATTCTTACACAGGCTATGCTAGAGAGAGTGCCTCTCCCTGAACCACCTCTATATTTTCTTGACCCACATATCCAGATGGTGTTGGAGCCCTTATTTTATTGACATGGGAAGTTGCATTGTATTTATGATATATACATCCTTAGGCAGTATTTCAATCTTGAATCAGAATATCTGGGTTAGTTCTGACTCTGCTATTTACTGACTGCTTAAAACATGAAAGAAATAACCTCCTAGATGATTAGTTTCTTTTACATGAAATTTAGTATTAGGAACAGACCTCTCATTTTGCAAGGTTATTCTGAGTCTTGAAAATAACAATCATCTAGTGGTACATTAATAACTTTATAATGTATTATACTTAACCCATTTTTAGGCACTTAATATATGCTAATATTATCTCATGCAATAACTCATTGAAACCTCAAAATAGCTCTGTAAGGGGGCGACTACATGTTAGAGGAAACTGGAGAGTTTATTAACTGCCACAGTCACAAATGGTCAGTGGTGGTACTGGAACAGACATCTAGCAGTGTGGCTCTGGATCCTAGTTGTAGCCATGATGTCACACTGCTTCTTTGTAAGTATCACGGTTAGTGCTGACCACCACTGCTCTGTGCTTTCATGATTTGCCTTCTCAGCCAAAAGTTTAGAAGTTTCAGAGACATCTCAAGTGAACCCAATTGTGGATTCAAATCATGGAACTTTTTTCCATTTTCATTTTAATTTAAAAAAGAGAAAGAAAATAAACACAATGTCTAAACACTCTTAGTAACAAGCCAGCTTAGTGATTAAAGGACAAAAGGCTGTGCAAACTTAGGGGACAATCACATGCTAAAATTAGTGCATTTTCAGCTTATTTTGTTTATTCTTGGAAGTTAGAGAATTCAACATTTTAGCAATGAAAACAGTGCAGATATGATGTACAAAATACATAGTGTAAAGACAGTTTGGGAACTTAAGAGCTTTAATCCTTTTATCTATTTTAGGACTTTCTGGGACAAGTGTTTTGTACATTGGGGGAGATTGTTGGTTCACAGGGAAGTCGCCTGGAAAAGTCCATAGTGTAAGTATTTTTTAATTTAGACAATGAAATGTTTACTCTTTATTTTCTGTTTTGGCAGTTTTAAATTGATGAATATGTGGTTGTAGACCAAAAGTGTGTTTTAAAATCTTGAGTATTTTTCTTCCAACAAATCATTTTGACATTTTTGTAAAGGATAATTTATATTTCAGCTGTCATATGCCATGCTACAAAATCGTCACAAAATGAAATGAGCAGATTTAAGCCAGAAAATTTGTTGTTTTCCTTTTGGTTATACTATTAATTCTTAGATGTAGTACTTTTTTTTTTTTTTTAATAAACTTATTTATTTATTTTTGGCTGTGTTGGGTCTTCGTTTCTGTGCAAGGGCTTTCTCTAGTTGTGGCAAGCGGGGGCCACTCTTCATCATGGTGTGCGGGCCTCTCACTGTCGTGGCCTCTCTTGCTGCAGAGCACAGGCTCCAGACGTGCAGGCTCAGTAGTTGTGGCTCACGGGCCAAGTCGCTGCGCGGCATGTGGGATCTTCCTGGACCAGGGCTCAAACCTGTGTCTGCTGCATTGGCAGGCAGACTCTCAACCACTGCGCCACCAGGGAAGCCCCAGATGTAGTACTTTTTGAAGAAGAGATTTTACTTCTTTGGACCAGGGACTGTATGTAGTACCACCTTTTATGTTTAATCAATGCATTTTTAGTGATTGAGGTTTAATAATATTTTTTACTAAAAAATTAGTCTGAAAAGAAGGCAGTAAGTATGAAAATGTTAATAGAAGGTGGTCACTAAGAATTATATTTTCCATATTCACCTTCAATTATGGCTATCATGCTTAATTTTCAGATCAATTGCATAAGATGATCCTATTTTCTCTAATTCCATACAAGGCAGAAAACAAACTCTAGACATTTTCTCTAATACTTTCCTCTCCTTGTCCTCCTTCTTCCCCCATCCCTAATTTTGATTTTTTTGATTCACTTAACTGCTTTTAAAAATCAAAAGATCTAGGAGGGTCTAAGGCTATTGCAGAGCAAACCACAATGTCTAAAGATTTGGGGAGTTCTGAAGTCTCTATCTTCACCAATTTTTTAAGAATCTCAAACTCATAAAATAATTATGTCAAAACTTTACAAATCTATTCACCTTTGACATCAAACACTTGAAATGGTTAAAGCATCATTTTCACCTTCCCTGTATAAAATGGAACTTTATACTTAGTATCTTCTTCTTAGGCTAATAAGAAGTCTATGAATTCTAACTTCTTTTATTTAACTTTGATTATCTTAGAAAATCATTGCTGAATGTCAGTTTGAAAACTTTTGCATACCAATGATCTTTTGAACGTTCTTTTCACATGTAATTTGTTTTTACATCATTGTAAAATGGAAGGATTTGGAAGATTATGGTTTAAATATATTTATGCTCACTTTAATAAGTCAATGATAAGTAATCTATAAAACAAATATATTTTTATTAAGTATACATAATTCTTATTGCATTGTCTAGTCTAGTAACGTAGGCCCATAAGCATTCTTAGATTAGTAAAACACCCTTTCTTTTGGTGAAAAAATAATCAATATTATCTATACAATGCTACCATAAATATGCCTTTAATATTCTTTGAGAGAAAAAAGCAGTTAAAATGTAGAATTTTTATTTTAGAGCAACAGAATAGAGATTTTTACAGAACTTGCACTCATATTTTTAAATTGATCATTTTATTAAACAGTTTTACCTGATGTTATTTTCTCCATAAAACAAAATCATAACTCATTTCAGAAAGCTCTTAAATGCCATAGAATTTTTCCCAGTGGAAAATCAGCATTATATTAGTATTAAAACATGTTAAAAAGTTGATATTATATTGGCTCGGTTATGTGGTAAATAGAATGTAGTGTAAGATATAGTCCTTGTTCAGTTAATTCAACAAGTCCAAGTCCCACTGGACAAGACCAACGGAAGCAAATTCAGGCTACAGGGTGAAGATTCCTACAGTAATGATTGGCAGAATACGCCAATGTAGGGAGTATTGGCCAGCAGTTGAGCCATAATCATTTTACATAATCCGAAATGGTGAAATGCTCCTTAGATTTTTCTAAGCTTCTGCTGAGGTTAGGGTAGCACAAATGAGGCAAAACCTTGGAAACCTTTTCAGACAACATGGAGCTATTATAACTACATACTTTACTTCATCTATAGGGTATTTTGTAATTTAGGCAAGTTTATTATAAGTGTTGATATTATATCTATCTTATTGAAAAAGATATAATTTATTCAATTTTTAAAAGTATATGTAACTAATCTTATATTCAAAGTCTCCCCCTGACTTTATTGGGCAATTTTACCAGGTAAATAAACATTAAGAAAAGGGTTTAAAGGTGGGCTTATTGTTTAAGCAGTGGGAAATTTTTTGATTTTCAAAGTAAGTTTAGCCAGGCAAGTGTTATTACTAAATGGGTAATGAAGTGTAGAGTTTGAGCGTAGCAAAGAGATAGGCTACAAAAGAAAGAAGCAAAGAAACTAAGAATTGCAGAATGGGGCCTATTACATGAGGGAATTAAATTAGATACTTGAGATAAAGAGAACAGAGGAAAGAGTTGAGAGGGTTCTTAGGAGATTAATCAAAAATAGGACAGTAAAATTGAATAGATTTAGCTTGCTAGTGGAAGGATATTTTGGATTTATTAATCAAAAAATCAGGTGATAATAATCATGTTCTCTCACCTGGGAGTTACTCCAACACAGGTGGACACTGGATTATATCAAACAAATACACAAATATTTTGTAGTCACCCACCCTCTTGCTTGAGAAAATATTGGCTTTTGTTAAAAACTCTAGCTATGAGGGGGGACCTTCAAGACGGCGGAAGAGTAAGACATGGAGATCACCTTCCTCCCCACAAATACAGCAGAAATACATCTACATGTGGAACAACTCCTACAGAACACTTACTGAAAGCTGGAAGAAGACCTCAGACCTCCCAAAAGGCAAGAAACTCCCCCACGTACCTGGGTAGGGGAAAAGAAAAAAAGAAAAAATGGAGACAAAATAATAGGAACGGGACCTGCACTAGTGGGAGGGAGATGTGAAGAAGGAAAGGTTTCCACACACTAGGAAGCCCCTTTGCGGTCAGAGACTGCAGATGGCGGAGGAGGGAAGCTTTGGAGCAATGGAGGAGAGCGCAGCAATAGGGGTACAGAGGGCAAAGCTGAGAGATTCCCGCACAGAGGACTGGTGCCGACCAGCAATCACCAGCCCGAGGGGCTTGTCTGCTCACGCGCTGGGACAGTGAGGGCTGGGAGCTGAGGCTTGGGCTTCGGAGGTCAGACTCTGGGGAGAGGAATGGGGTTGGCTGCATGAACACAGCCTGAACGGGCTAGTGCACCAGAGCTAGCAGGGAGGGAGTCCAGGAAAAAGTCTGGAACTGCTGAAGAGGTCAGAGACTTTTTCTTGCCCCTTTGTTTCCTGGTGCGCAAGGAGAGGGGATTAAGAGCGCTGCTTAAAGGAGCTCCAGAAACGGGCGTGAGTCATGGCTATCAGCGCAGACACAAGACACAGGCATGAAACTGTAACACTGCTGCTACAGCAACCAAGAAGCCTGTGTGCAAGCACAGGTCACTATCCACACCTCCCCTCCTGGGAAACTGTGAAGCCCGACACTGCCATGGTCCCATGATCCAGGAACAACCTTCCCAGGAGAACACACAGTACGCCTCAGGCTTGTGCAATGTCATGTTGGCCTCTGCTGCCTCAGGCTCACCCCGCACTCCGTACCCCTCCGTACCCCTGGCCTGAGGGAGCCAGAGCCCCCAAATCAGCTGCTCCTTTAACCCCATCCTGTCTGAGTGAAGAGGAGACGCCCTCAGGTGACCTACACATAGAGGCGGGTCCAAATCCAAAGCTGAAACCCAGGAGATGTGCAAACAAATAAGAGAAAGGGAAATTTCTCCCAGCAGCCTCAAGAGCAGTGGATTAAATCTCCACAATCAACTTGATGTGTCCTGCATCTGTGGAATACCTGAATAGACAATGAATCATCCCAAATTGAAGGAGGTGGACTTTGGGAGCAATGATAGAAATTTTTTTTCCTCTTTTTCTTTTTGTCAGTGTGTATCTGTATGCTCCTGTGCATGATTTTCTCTGTATAGCTTTGCTTTTACCATTGGTTCTAGGGTTCTGTCTGTCCGTTTTTGTTTGTTTGTTTTTTTTAGTATACTTTTTAGGACTTGTTACCATTGGTGGATATGTTTTCTACTTCGGTTGCTTTCTTCTTTCTTTCTTTATTGCTTAAAAAATTTTTTAACAATTATTATTTATTTTAATAATTTTATTTTATTTTACTTTATTTTATTTCATTTTATCTTATTTTATCTTCTTCCTTCTTTCATTCCTTCTTTTTTTTTCTCCCTTTTATTCTGAGCCATGTGGATGAAAGGCTCTTGGTGCTCCAGCCAGGAGTCAGTGCTGTGCCTCTGAGGTGGGAGAGCCAAGTTCAGGACACTGGCCACAAGAGACCTCCCAGCTCCACATAATATCAAATGGCAAAAATCTCCCAGAGATCTTCGTCTCAACACCAAGATCCAGCTCCACTCAACGACCAGCAAGCTACAGTGCTGGACATCATATGCCAAACAACTAGCAAGACAGGAACACAACCCCACCCATTAGCAGAGAGGCTGCCTAAAATCATAATAAGTCCACAGACACCCCAAAACACACCACCAGGCGTGGATATGCCCACCAGAAAGACAAGATCCAGCCTCATCCACCAGAACACAGGCACTAGTCCCCTCCACCAGGAAGTCTACACAACCCACTGAACCAACCTTAGCCACTGGGGACAGGCACCAAAAACAACGGGAGTTACAAACCTGCAGCCTGTGAAAAGGAGACCCCAAACACAGTACGTTAAGCAAAATCAGAAGACAGAGAAACACACAGCAGATGAAGGAGCAAGGCAAAAACCCACCAGACCTAACAAATGAAGAGGAAATAGGCAGTCTACCTGAAAAGGAATGCAGAGTAGTG